AAGATTAAGGTTTGGTGGTCATTTGCCGCTTTAAATAACCTAAGGAAAGTGTTATATCCGTTCTTGAAATTCTCCAGTTGTGCGGCATTACATAGCACGGTTATTCGCAAAGCGAAATAAATTTTTTCATCTTCACTCCCTGGCGGCAACAATGACCCGGTTCTATAGTGAATGTCCTAGAAGCTTTACAGTATAGTAGGTGGCAATTTCAAAATGGGTGCGAATCATTGTTCTACAGAAATGCAATATACATATACTTATTTCAGACGAAATACCTTGAAAGTTTGAACGCATAATAATATTGGAAAATCACATCCATTGGGCCAATTGCAACGCACGAGCGTTCGATATACTCAATGGTGCAACAGGTCGATTTAATCTGACCTTCACGGCCCCTTTTCTCACTTGGCTATTTTTAGTAATAGCTCGACTTCAGCACCACTTGGCAGCACGTTTTTGCAATAGTATTGCATACATATTTAAAACATTAGCCAAATCGGATCATAAATAAGATTTTTAGTAATAACTCAACTACAGCGCCAACTGTCGGATTAAATTGTGAAACTAAACCATCCAGAGACCCACTCAAATACACAAAAAGTTTCGTTAAAATCCGTACAACCGTTTAGGAGGATTTCACTCACAAACACACCTACAGAAGAATAAAAAAATTCATTAAAAGATAGCTAAAGGTCGGTACGTTTGTAGGCCTCACACCCCTTTTCAAATATCCCAAATTTTCTCCATGAGTATGGGCTTGATTTCAACTATATACATATCTCCATACGAAGTTCCAGTACTGTACCATGAATACTTTCAGAGATATGCAGTATAAAAATTCGATTTATATGGGAGGTGCTACGCCCCCCTTTCCAAGAGATGCCCTCGTTCTTCATGAGTATGCGATTGATTTCGTATATCTCCATACCAAGTTCCAGAACTCTACCATGAAAATAGGCAGTATGAAAAATTCGGTTTGTATGGAAGATGCCACGCCCCCTTTTCCAATAGTTCCAACTTTTCTCCAAGAGTATGCGATTTATTTCGTACATCTCCACACAAAACTCTAGAACTCTACCAAAAAATTTCCAGAGATAAGCAGTATGAAAAATTCGGTTTGTATGGGAGATGTCACACCCCTTTTTACAATAGCTAAAATTTTCTCCAAGGGTATACGATTGATTTCGTATATCTCCATACCAATTTCCAAAACTCTACCATGCACACTTTCAGGGATATGTAGCATGAGAAATTCGGTTTGTATGGGAAGTGCCACGCCCCCTTTACATATAGATTTTTTTCAGCCTAAAACCATCCTTGGAACACGTGCGGCAGGTGGCAGTTTCAAAAAAATCGGTTCAGCCGCTCTCGAGCCTTGTGAAAACTAACAAACGGTTCTAAATATATATTAGTTGAGATATATTATATATTATAATTATATTTTGACAGTATCCGTTGTTTCTGATTGGCGCAAAAAAATCTTGCCTAGTGACGAATTCGCCCCTTGATATGGTCGTTACTTAAAGCTATTTATATTCGAAATTGCATGAAAATTGGAAAACAGGAATCTATAAGCTTATCCAGGCAAAAAGCTACCTACGTACCGAATTTTAAGCAAATCGGACCATAAATACGATTCCTTCGAACAGATCGGTCTCTGGTCCACTTCTCGGACAAAATGGATCATATATGCTAATATATGCTAAAAAGCTACCTGCGTACCGAATTTTAAGCAAATCGGACCGTAAATACGATTTTTTCGAATAGATCAGTCCCTGGTCCACTTCTCGGAAAAAATGGACCATATACCCTAATATATGCTAAAAAACTACTTACGTACCGAATTTTAAGCAAATCGGACCATAAATTTTTTGGAATAGTTCGGTCCCTGGTCCACTTCTCCGAAAAAATTGGTCACATATGCTAACACATGCTAAAAAGCTACCCGCGCACCGAATTTTAAGCAAATCGGACCGTAAATTCGATTTTTTCGAATAGATCGGTCCCTGGACCACTTCCCGGAAAAAATGGGTCATATATGCTAATATATGCTAAAAAGCTACTTACGTACTAAATTTTATGCAAATCAGACTATAATACGATATTTTCGAATAGACCGGTCCCTGGTCCACCTACCCAAAAAAAAGTAAAATTTTTTTAGCCTAAAACATGGTGGTTACTGAAAGCTATTTGCATACAAAATATCATTTTTAATTTTTTTAAATTTGTTTGAGCAAAATCGGACTAGTGGTTCTCGAGTTATGTCAAAAAAAGACCACCAAAGGTGACAATTTCCCTATATGATAGTTATATATATATCTCGATTCCTAGACGTGACCCAGCGAAACGCCGGGACACGTATAACTTGTTTTTGACCGACATAACATTTCCCGTTGGTTTCATCCCATCCCGATTTTGACTGTCGCATAGTGTAATTAGTATAGATGCGGGAACGACTGAATGGATTTGCATGAAAATTTGCACACAGATAGCTTATGACCTAGATTGGAAAATAGGCTACTTTTCTCAAGAGTTGTCACCTGTTAAAAAAGTGTCATTAAATTAATACGCGGAAACGACTGAATGGATTTGCATGAAATTTTGCAAGCAGATAGCTTATGACCTACAGTGGAAAATAGGCTAATTTTTTGGAAGAGTCGCCACCTGTTAAAAAAGTTTAATTAAATTAATACGCGGAAACGACTGAACGGATTTGCATGAAATTTTGCACACAGATAGCTTATGAGCTAGGTTGAAAAATAGGCTAATTTTTTTTAAGAGTTACCTCCTGTTAAACAAGTTTTAATTAAATTAATACGCGGCAACAACTGAGCAGATTTGCATTAAATTTCGCACAGAGATAGCTTATGACCTACGTTGAAAAATAGGCTACTATTTTAAGAGTTGCCAGCTATTATAAAAGTTAATTAAATTAATACGTGGAAATGACTGAACTGATTTGCATGAAAGTTTGCACACAGATAGCTTATGACCTAGATTGGAAAATAGGCTACTTTTTTAAGAATTGCCACCTGTTTGAAAATGAAATTTTGCTCAAAGATGGTTTATGATCTGGATTGAAAAATAGGCTACTTCCTTAACCGGTTTTCCGATCAGAACGAAATTTAGTACACTAACTACGGATTTCGGAAGGATGGTCTTAGACTGAAAGTAAGTCCGATAACTCAAGGGCCCTCCCATACAAATTGGAATTTTCATATTACATACATATCTCTGGAAGTATTTGTGGGAGAGAACTGGAACTTGGTATAGTGATATGTATGTGAAATCAATGTTGGCATTAATCGATTGATGTTTTAATCAGTTAGTTAATTCGATTAAATTCAATCTGATTACAGTTAATCATGATTAATTTTAATCTGACTAAATAGTTAATCGTAACCGCGATTAAAAAATTAATTTTTAATCATTAACTCTTAATTTGATTAAGTAGGTTTGGTGGTTAATTAAGCTATGCTGGAATTTCCCTGTGCACACAAAGCAAGTAAATCCGGTATGGCTAAGTCGGGTTTCCTCATCAATCTGAGCAATTTGGTGTGCATTTTCATTAAGATCTATACCACCAAACGTTTTATAATCTAGGTTTGTAAAAGTTCCCAGTTTATGTATTACTAATAACAATAATTATAATTTTTTTATATTATGTGCTTTTTATAAGCGTAAAACACAAAATAATTACTATAACTGGTGTTTGGTTTCAAACTCGGACAAACTAGACAACTTAATCAGATTTTATTTTTAATTGGATGAACGATTAATGTTTAAAATTAATTAAACGTAATCGCAACCAGCGATTAACGATTAAAAAAATGTTATCATTAATCGTACAGTTGATTACGACTAATTAGTTTTAATCGTCAAACGCGATTAACATTTTAATGGTTAATTTTAAATCGTTAATCAGATTAACAGTTTGCCAACACTGTGTGAAATCATATTCATATTCACGGAGAAAAAATGGACGTTTTTGGAAAAGAGGCGTAGCACCTCCCATACTGACTGAAGGTTTCATATTGCATATCTCTTCAAATGTTTGGGGTAAAGTACTCAAGCTAGGTACGGAAATACATATGTATGTATGTATGTGAAACTAATACCATACTCATGGAGAAAAATGAGAGTTATTGGAAAAGGTGGTGTGGCAATTCCCATGCAAATTGATTTTTCTATGCTGCATATCTCTGGAGGTGTTTATTGCAGAGGACTGGAACTTGTCCCCGAGATCTGTATACAAAATTAATTCCATCCTCATGGAGAAAAATTTGCGTTATTTGAAAAGGGGACATGGTACCTCCCATACAAATTTATTGTTTTATACTGCATATCTCTAGAGGTGTTCATGGTAGAGTACTGGGACTTGGTACTGGGGTATGTAAAATCAATTCTAAATTCATGGAAGAAGATTAGGGTTATAAGAAAAAGGGCGTGGCACAAATTGAATTTTTCTTTATCCGTGGAAGTGTTTGTGGAAGAACACTGGAACTTGGTATGGAGTTGTGTATACAAAATGTATCAATTGCTCATGGAAAAAATGTGAGTTATTAAAAAAGAAGGCATGTCGCCTCCCATATATACTAAAACCCAGGAATGATAGAATACAAGATTGCGCCAATCGAGCTGAGAGCAACTGGCCATGACGTCAAAATATACCAGAATGAGAGCAAAGACGAATTCAATAAGAAAAAGAAGAAGAATCGAACAGCTGGGGCGAAAATGAAAGGTTTGTTTACAAAGTGCATAATAAATCGCGGATTTACGGAATTATTTAATTTTAAATGGTAAATTGGTTGTTTAAAAGTAAAGAATGTGTACTTCTTAAATGCAATGCAAATCGCTGAAAGTGTTAAAACACTGCAACCATTATAATGATTTGCATTTTTTCAGTAATTGAACAAATACCACCGGGCCGCCAGCGGGTCAGTTGCTGGTAACAATTTGCAGAACGATTCCACGGTGATCGTTGCATCATCGTCAATTAGTGAAATCAGTAACCAAGCTTTTAAAATAAAGGAAAACCTCCTACTCCGCTATACATATAATTACTTTCATTATTTAGCTACTTTTCCGGCAGCCGCAACAAACGCTGGCCCAAGCCTGCAAATTGTTGCCAGCAACTGGCCCGCTGGCTGCCCACTGGCATTTGTTCAACTACTCAAAAATGCACTTTGTAAACAAACCTTTTGGGTGTTGGCCACATCAAGCCGCTCATCTGGATGAAATGAAAAGGCTGTTAGATGTAATGCAGCAACGTGCTCCCGATGTTGAACATCAGTTCAAAGAAAAGTCAAATGAGTTGGAAATGGCGCAGCTTATCATACGCCAGTTGTCGGATAAGGCCAATGTAAACCAAGGCCGCAATCGGATAGAGACCTCGACGCAGACGCAATTTATGTACGAGCAACAGATTAGAGACTTACAAGTAAGTTAGAAGTAGAAGTGCATTTGAAGACGCTTACATTATTATGTTTACGCATTTCTTACAGGCTATGGTGCAACAATTGACGTATGCCAAAGAAAGGAATTTATGATGGTCACAAATATATTGGCAAAAACATAGCAAGTGCATATGCCAAGTTGGAAAAATTGACAATGCGTGAGTATAAAATGAATAGGTGTTCTTAATTATAAATATTACTTTACCTTGTCTTTTGCAGTGGCCAAAAAGAAGAGTCTTTTTGATGATCGACCGCAATAGATTCAAGAATTTACTTACATCATGGTGTATGCGTTACAATCTAAATTAGCCAGCATGGGCACCGACTTCAAACAGATACTAGAAGTGCGTATAGAAAATCTCAAACAACAAAAAGCGCGTCGGGATCCATTCGGGCAGTCACCAATTGCTGCTAGCACTGTTCGCTCGAGTACAGCGAAACAGGGCTCCTTGCTGTTAAGCGAAGAGAATACGGCCGTAAGCATTGACATGGCCGCAAGTGATACAACACCATTGCTGGGTGCAGTCGGAGGTAGTGGAATACAGACGCAGCAGCAGATTGCATTATATGATGACTCCGATAGTTACGTGCAACAGCGGGCTGAGACTATGCATATATATACGGTATATTTCAACAATCAGCACATTAAGGAGCAAGAGGAGACTGTGGAGCGTATCGATACAAACATACAAGATGCCGAATTGAACATAGAAGCGGCGCATGGTAAAAAATTGAAGTACTTCCAAACTGATGATAAAAATCTTCGCAGTACTGATATTCTTTTTCATATTCTTCGTAGTTTTTCTTATATAATAACGAATATGTTTGTGACACGGCAAGATTTTAACAAGTTCAGATGCGCGGTCTTAAAGTTGTGGGTTTTTAAATACATAAATATATAATATCCTATACATATACATACATATAAAAAACACTAATGTAATAATGAAATTAAGTCTTATATGCCACGTGAAACACGATAGCTTTTAGAAGCAGTCACGTAGGGTTAGACACTAATTCTGCCAATAATAAAATTACTTCACTTAGTTTCACTTTTTTCAAAATTTTCTATAAAAAGTAGAGATGATCCTGTGTAATAAAACGAGAACCGATTTATGTAATCATAAATATATAAAGAAAAGTTTAAAACTAAATAAAATAGAAATTGTTATTGGCAATAAGTACATGTGCTTGTTTATTAATAATTCAAATATTATGTTCAAACAAATTTAAGTGGAAGGTATGCAATTTCAAGAAAAAAGCAATTGCTTAGTTTTTATGCATACGGATTAACATTTCCGGTAGGAAGCAGAAGGTCAGTATGTATAAATAAAAAGCTTTATCAGGGGAACGTGTTATATTTTCAAATAACAAATAAATAAAAAATACATCGTAATGAAATGTTGCCGTTTATTGCATGTGATCTGATGCCGGATTCAATTCATAGGTTCTCGTAGGTAGCTCGTTCTCGAAGTCATCAGTGGTGAAGTGTTTTACAACAGATGACGCTGGTTCGGGCGTTGAAATCCGTTGGTCTCCGGCAGAACTGGATCCACTTTTCCACCAACTCGATGTCGGCCGGAAAAGTAAAAAAAACTGCACCCAGATCCTTTGGCACTAACACTAGCACAATTAACCACTGCACACCTCATTTTTTTCTTTAATTTATAACTTTTTTATAAGTTTTCACAAAAAACAAAACAACGCTCAAAATCTTTCCAATTTGTAAATTTGTAAAGTTGAAATAACCTAAAATGTCACGAACCAGAAAATGTAAACAAAAGTATTGTGTGACGTCAGCGAATGGGTGGATGCTGTCAAATCGACGAAGAGAGGGTTAGCGGTCCGCGAATGGCGCGACCTTTATTTTCTGGATCGTGACTAAAACCTTCTTAATACATATCTCTGAAAGGATAGAAAATCTCTCCAAGTATTTTAAATTTGTTATGGAGATTTATTTTATAAGTGCCGTACTGACAATAAATTTCATTAAATGGAAAAGGGAGAGCCGGGTTCGGCCTTATAATCTAAAGCTCTCTTGAGGCATTTGCTACAGTAATGAGAAGTGGTATTTTATCAAGGCCAGGTTACTAAATTTGATTTGGAAATATTAGAACCCGCCGTGGCACCTCCAAGAAGGTTACACGTTCACGCGTCGTATACCTGGAACCATTTTAAGGTAAACTTAGAGGGATTGATATCTTTCGTATGCCTAACGCGCAGACGAGATTTTATAATTTCATAGTTTTAAACGGCCTAAATACCTTAACTCGCTTAAAAAATAACGAGCTATAACGAAATGGGCACAGAAATAAAATCTAACATCATTAAATTATTTTTCATATTTGAATAAAAGCGCGGGGTGAAACCCGCAGGTATAAGCTAGTAATTTTATAATAGGTTTGTTCCACAAACTACCTGTAGAAAACCTCGAGCAAAGTTCAAACTGTCAGCGTATATCAAAACTTACTTGTGGAACGCGTATGTGTAACTCGAAGTGACTTCGCGTAGCTTGTGGAACAAACCTAATATGTATTGTATTGCTTTTACAATTTTTTGGAATCATGAGAAAAATATATTTTTTTGACAAGAATCCAATGTACAGTTACTGTACCACAATAACCAATGTGAATGACACTTCCTTTTGAATCCTATAATAAACGTTAACAAATTTTATTCAACTTGTTCCTCATTTTTTTCTAAATAAAAATAAAAACAAATAAAAGTATATAATAAACTAGCAGACCCGGCGAACTTCGTCCCGCCCAAAATTAATGTTTTTTATTGAAACTTTTTGGTCCAAAATTTTCACCAACAAATCACGTTTATTACGATTTGGTGGTCATTTACTGCATTAAATAACTTAACGAAAGTATTATGTCCGTGAAGAAGTTCTGAAATTCTCCAATTGTGCAGCATTTCATGGCACAGTTAATCGCAAAACGAAATACATTTGAAGAACGTTTTCCTCTTCACTCCCTGGCGGTAACAATGAATTCGGTTCTATAGTGAATCTGTCCTAGAAGCTTTATAGTATAGTTGGTGCCAATTTCAAAATGGGTGTGTATCATTTATCTACAGAAATGCAATATACATATACATGGGCGTAGTCAGAACGAAATTTATAACTTAAATAACTTACTTACTAAGAAATTGTTTATTATAGCTTAAACTATTGTAACCAATAGAGGTATGTTGTACAAAAACACATAAACAGATGGTCATGAAAGTTGATATAAAACTATTCGTCGATTTGAATAGTTAACTTTTTACTGTGCATGTGTATTTTACGAGGAGGAGGCATCGAAAGCCTAACCCGGTCAGTGTGAGACTTTAACCTAAACTAAACTTCCTACCGTCATGTACTGTTCCACTCCAGGTACCACCGTCATAACACTGTGTGACTGCTAAAGTTATAGATCTATTGAAGCACAAAAAATATGCATACTTATAATTTTGAATACCCCCTCAACTCTGGACTTAAGGCCTAAAAACGCTATTTTCATAGGTTGAGCCTTATAATTGTTCGTTATTTAATTTCTGTTTAACCGATTAAAAATATTTACAGTGCGTACACGGTAAACGCAACCCTCAGTACGTGCAATTCCTTCATTAATGCAAGTCTCTAAAGCAAAAGATTGTAACCTTTATAAAAGCAACTTCAAAACAATTTAACCTCAATACCTTCAACATTCTTTGTTTTTGCATACCACATCCAAAAATTTGAATTGTTTGCCTTTCTTTGGCTTGTGATGAGTTTAAAATAAACAAATCAACTGTTATCAGAATAAGTCAAAATGAAAGCAAAAGTAACGATAAAAAATATAAAAGCCGGACTTGAGAAACGCAAACTTTAAAACAGTGCGAGTACCCAAAAATGATCTTGTGCCTGAGCGGTTCAGTTCTGCAACTCTTATTATCTTCTCCAACATCAGTCACCTTGTCTGAAACCTCGACTGGTGTCAAACGGCTCAGAGAGGTCCTCCTCAATTCTGATCTGAAGCCACACTGGTAAGGCGCAATCAGTTCGTTGACGGAGGGCTTCAGTCTTTCACACAACACGCTCGATAAAATAGTTGTCACGCATGGCGGGGTCGCCTTTCTTGTGAATTGAGCAGAGCGCACCAGTTGTCGGGCATGTATCTTATTAGCTCCTTGCAATCGTAATTGAATAGCTCGGCTGACAAGCCGTAAGCTCTAGCAGTTTTGTTACTTTTCATCAGCATAATCGCTATTCGTACCTCGTCATAGTCAGGCGCTGGGATATCGACTCCATCGTCATCGACTGGGGGCTCGGGTTCGCCTTCTCCACTTCTTTCAGTGCTCCTGCCATTCAAAAGGGTCGAAAAGTGTTCCCTCCATAATTTGAGTACGTTCTTGACATCGGTCACAAGGTCGCCATGGTTGTTACTACAGGAGTCTTGAAACCTTCCGTAAGTCGCCCAACTCTCTGCTCAAAATTTCGGGTGTTTTTTCTGTTGGCCAGCATTTCTAGCTCTTCGCACTCACGTATTTCGACCTCTCTCTTCTTATTGCGGCAAATACATGTAGCTTCCCTCTTCAGTCCCTATAACGGTTCCACATGGCTCGCGTTACGCCCGATCGTAGCGTGGTCTTGTAGGCGGCACCTTTTTATATGCAGCTTCTTGACTCTCCTCATCGTACCATTAATGAGCGGGAAATGTGGCCCCACTGCTCGCGTATGTCGCTTTGTTGAAGAGTGCTGTCTCACAGCAGGTGTGAGAGTCGAGTGGCGAATCAATTGGGCGTATATTTTGATTGCAGCTTTTTGACGTTGAGCTTTCCTTGCATTTTTGGGCGCACATTTTTTGCTGCACCGAGGCGGGTGCGTATATTGGCTGCATCAATATAGTGGTGCGAGTCGATGCTTGGCCCTCGGAGTGTACGTATGTACATTTAAAACACTGGAAGTGTGCCTTCCGTCTATCACAACATGTTTGATTTGCTGTAATTACTTAAGACATGGCTGTTCACCAAACCGGTCTATAGATTTATCGATAATCTCAGATTGGTTTTCTGATACAAAACTTTGGATCTACGCTTAGAACACACAAACCTAAAGACAAAGTAATTAGCAATTTAACTATAAATTTATTTGTTAGTTTACCGTTCAATCCATTTTCGCTCATTGTCGACTGCAGCCAGGCTTTTACCCTTCTTAAGTGGAAGTGCTTGAAGTTAACGAGAATAACTTGATACAGAACCGGATGATCCACATATCCACTTTTTAAATTAACTTACTAATTATTTTGTTAGCATTGAGTGTATAATTTGTTATAGAGTATATACATAGGAAAAAACATGAAAGTTAAAGGGGCCGAAATTATCGAGCAAGCATTTCCTGCTACTATTTTTGAATATCTAGGCAAACATTTGGAAGTTAAGGGGGGGGGGGGGCTCCTAGAGCATTCTGCATCAAAAACAAAATTTTGGAAAAAATGTCACTTACGTTGTTTTGGCAGTTGGGACTCGATATGTCTGTACATATGTATATCCAATCTTTTCAGGCAATCAGAGCTCCATTCACCTAAATTTTTTAGGAAAGTTTGTTGAATTTTTTAAATATTGAACGAAGTTTGAAATATG